TTTCCACTCTTATTGTGCTTTTGTATTCGATAACTTATGGCATCATGCATAAAGCAGTTCTTTAAAAATAATTCGATCTCATCTCACCAAGATCCTTCACCTTGTAAGGTGTTGGTCACACTTTTCTTAGGGGTCCTCACAGTTGTTCTCAGTTTATCGATGAATTTCCATGCTATCGATCACTGTAACAACGTGCTTCCTTCTGTTTGAGGGATTATTTGTAAATTAAGCATTACATGAAGAAAGAAAAAGAGCTTATGCCTTGCTTTCATGAAGAAGTCAGCTCATCGAAATGTAATTGGAATATAGCAAATACATATTGAAAAGAATATAGCATTGGAAGATTCGCGACTCCGATTCAACATGACATAACACTGCGCAATAATTACTTCTTTTGTTCATGAATTAAGACTGTCATTTTAAGCATTCCCGCATCCAATCCGTATTCATTTTGTTTTCCTCTCAAACCAACCACTCATTCATACTTTTGTTGTATGCTCACATTTCGCTAATGAAAAATAACGGAAATTACTGATGTGAATGAATGTGACCGCACCTCTCCACTATCAGATGAGATTAGTCTGTGTTTGTGAGATGCGCATACATTTAACTTGTACATACACAAGTATTGTACTGAATTTTCTCTTACTAACTGTTTGTAATCCAATTTCACATTGCGCAAATGTTTCACAATGTTTTTAGCATATTTTCATTTGAATGAACTTCAGTCCAGCATGAATTATTGACGTGCTACTTGTAATCATTCCAATCGAATGAAATTGTTATGCTCATTATTGAATATTCATAAATATCGAAAAATAGTTGAAACAGTTGCGTATTCGAAGATTCATCGCTAATTGAAAAAGTACAATCATCCACTACTGTTTGAATGTTTAACACCTCTTGTTTTAAATTCAGTTTCGTCTATTTCTTCGAGCCGTTAAAAGTTTCAAATAATGATTTGTTGAGCGTGGATCCTACTCAGCAATCTGCACAGAGTGAAGTCACGATTTTGTTGTGAAAAACGGTTGGACAAGCAGAGATAATGATGTTTCGATTTGATGAAGTGGTTCTCGCACAATTCTCCGTCTAAATTCGTATGTTTGGCTAATCAGTTTCATTATTACGACTGACTTCTACATTGGATCCAGATCTAGGCATGATGTATGCATTCTTTACTTCTCTAGTTTCACTTACAATTAGCTGATCAAACTTTTATGACGGCGCGCTATTCAAGAGGTTCACTGAGACCTCAAAAAGCTCGCCGGAATTGAATTACGTCGAAAAGTAATGATATAATGACGTAAAGAATATATGCACCGATCATCGCAGTTTATTATTTTCTTTTGAGTTCCATCAAATTTCAGTGACTTCAGTCGACTGCGTCAATGAGAAACAAATACTCAATAACACTGCATCTCAAAAAAAGTTGAATTCAAATTATCGTATCGCTCAATTATTTGCACATATCTAGACATCAGTCAGTCACTCCATCGCCCACATTTCGTTTCCCATCTTCAGACTGAAATTGAATTGCTCTCGCTTGATTTGTCTTCAGAATGTTCCTCCATTCAACTCATTAGCTGTCGAATGCGCCAAATGGAAAACTTCGTCATTTTTTCGCTTCTCATTGCAGCCTTTCGTTTTCTCTCAATCGCCAGTTGATTGATTATTATCGTTATTCTCAATTTACTCCCCTCTTCGTATCACACCATTACTTCGCATAATGCTTTCGCATTGCTTATATTGGAAAGGGATGGTTCATCTCAATTAAAATCGTTCATTAGGACAAAAATCTGTGTTTCGGCTCGAATAATTAACAAATTTTGACTTTGCACACTAGATGGGCCACTTTTTTGCCTGAAAATACATGAATCAATAGGCTATCAGCTTCATATGCAATAATTATGTTCCATCTTACACCATATGGTTGCGTCACCATCCCGGAATTTAGCAAGCGTTCTCTCGTCCTCTATGAATGAGGGAATGAATTTCTTGACCACAACTCATAATAGGCCGTATGAATGCGAACTTGTATTAGCTTGTTCATCCGAACAATCTTTTGATAATCTTGATCTTAATTTGTATTAGTGGCTTCATCCGAATAACTTGTATTAGTTTGTTCGTCCGAATATATGATCATTTTGATCGAAACACTTCTTGAATGACATTAATGAAAATGTTTGCGTTGAAAAATCGCTAAATTGTTTTCAAATGGTGATTTTGTAGGCTGAAGAAAGGCGACGCATTGAGAATGCAGGTGGTTTTATCTTAGAGGATGGTGTCGAACGAGTGCAAGGAATTCTCTCGGTTACCAGGTTATTCAGTTTTCGAGGATATCGCTCTTTAATAGTCATGCAGTGGATAGAGCATTCAAACCAATGTCGAATGAGGAATTGCGATGCTACTTCTCAAGAATTCAACAGTGAAATGAAATCAATCATTGAATAAGTTCGAAACGTTCTTAGCTGTTTTGAGTTGTGAAATATAGATGGAGTGCAGTTTAAAACTCAGTGAGGTACAATCCCATGCGCTTTCATCATTTTAAGTTCATGACGAACATCCTGTTAATGGAATTTTCAAGATGTGGCCAATCTGTTACGTTAAACCTATGAAATTTTATACTTTCACTCCGTTGAAATTCGGTTGATGGGCGAACTTTAATTTATAATTTAAAAGGAATGGCATTTCGATATATTATACGACCTCGTTGAGCCGTTTGACATTTTACACATATCAATGAAAAGGACTGGCTAGGTTTTTAATGTATATATATATGTTATAGTTTTCTCGTCCAATCATATAGCTGAGTTTACTTGCTGCATTGAGAAGGAGAATGGTCATTTTACTGCCGTTCGAGAATACTCATTGATCGATGCGATCAATTCATGAATTCGATGCTTGTGAATAGCGACCTTATTGTTTAAAATTTTTTTGGTGGTCAAAATAACCGAATTTGAGATCATTTGAATGATGAGGAATTCTGGATGAATCAATAATGTGAGAAATTCATGTAAAAACGATTTCAAATGAGAACTGAAGCTAATGGAGGATGACTAATCCCCATCGATGAGTTCCATGTCAGTTTTATCCTTTTAACGATTAAGAGCTTTCGGTGACACACAACTGAAACGTGCATGTGTATTGACTGCTCATCCTGACGTGGTTCGTGTTGATCTTGATGAGATCGGTCTTCGATTCATTGTT